AGCCTTTCTTTAATCCTGCTACACGAGTCAATCAGCACGGACAAAGGGAGTTAGTCGAGTATAGAAAATCCGACGTCAGATTTTACGATGGCCATCCTGGAGACGATCCCCTCGCGTGGTCGAAGAGTCTCGCTCACATTCCTGCCAACTCCCCTGTCGGGAAGACCTTTAAGCTGCACGCCTCTCGCGCTTACCTTCAGGCGTCGACGCAAAGCAACTCGCCAGTGCGATCCGCATCTCAATCGAAATTGCCGGTGCGTCTAGATCGACGCATGTCACCTGGCGAGCCTTCCACTTTCAAGAAAGTGAGTCTGTTGCGCGAGCTGCCGAGAATCGTTTTCAAGGTTCCTTACTCGATGATCGATATCTCTCGCACAGCTGACCCAGCTGCTCGCTGGAAAAGGCAAAGAGAGCACAAGCGATTCAGTCAATGAGCCTCTCATAAAGCCTGAGCAGGTCATCTCTCATCAGCGCCAGGTGCATGGACCTTCTTTGGGTGTGGACCCCAAGGCGAAAATGGGCGCTATGAGAATTGCCGCAGGCACGCCCGAGTCTGTGATTCCTGGTGCAACATTGTCGCGTACATTCTCGGGCAAGGCGCAAGTGCTTTTGCATCCAGGCCATGATCTGACAATCCATAGCCATGGCTGGAGGGATAGGATAGAGCTGCATTCGGCAAAAGGCACTTCGAAGCGTGTTGCGCTTGACGACTTTGCGCCAGACTCGGAGGGACGGCGAGCTCGCATTTGGGCGCCAGCTGAAGGGGTAGTCATCAGGCATCATTCCGGCAGATCCCTGATCACCTTGATACAGCATGATTTACGACACTATAGACTGACGGAGCCGACTGACATGGGCAGGCTGAGCAGAACGTTGGCTCAGCTTGATCACAAGACGGGCAGAAGTAGAAAGAAAGCGTATGTTGTGCAGGGTCAACAGCAGCCGCGGGACACCTTGCAGGAAGAGCATCAGGGGTCATCCGACGGTCACGTCAAGACGAGCGGCCCCTCAGCGCCGGGGTCCAGCAGCGTCGAGTAGCCGAGGATCGTAAGCG